ACTGCACCCCAGCGTCCCCAGACTGGCCGCGCCGGGCCATGGGCCATGCAGGGTGCAATATGGCTTCCGCTGCAGCAGTCTGGCCTGGCTGCAGACTCCTCGCTCTGTCTCTCTCGCACTCACGGGGCGTCCCGCGAGGTGCGACGGAGTCAGAGCGACGAAAACGACTCTCGGAATCAGTCTGCTGGCGGGCTTCCGGGGCCGGGCTAGAGAGCCTGGAGATACGCAAATCACGCCGTCCTGGGGGGGGGGGGGGGGGGCGGGGCGGGGCGGATGACCTCGGGGGACGGGGTGGCGTCGCACAGTGGGCCAGAAGACCGGTGGAGGCGGTCAAAGTTCCGGACGCGTTTCGAGCTCCAGAGTCGCTAAACAGGACTCGAACTGGACGTGTGACCCCAGCAATGGATTGCTCTTCCAACGAGGAATCCATTGGTGGGGTCACACGTTCGGTTCTAGTCCCATTTATCGACTCAGTAGCTCAAAACGCGTCTAGAGGTTTGGCCGCCGACGCCGGTCCTCTGGCCCACTGTGCGTCAGGGAGGTCGGGATCAGCTCGCCAGTGCCTCTGTCGGCGAGACTTCGAGTCCACCGCTGTGACTGCACTGGTGAAACTATAAGACTTAGCGACCGGAAGTTGGAGGCCCTTTGCGTTCCCCCTCTGGGCGGGAAGCGCGGCGAGCGAAGCGCGAAGCCCCGCCCGCCCCCACCTGCGTGGCCGCCGCGCTGCCGCGTCCCGTAGTGCCCTGCGGCCCAGTGGGCCCCGCGGCGGCCCGTGGTGGGGTGGGGGTGGGGCCCGCGGCGCTGCCTACAGTGCCTGCGCTGCCCCGGGCAGGCCCACCTGTGACTGGCTGTCGGCCGCGGCGGCGTGCCCGGCCCTCCGCCCATCCCTCTCACTGGCCTGCTCTCGGCCTGCCCGTGTCCATTTTGCGCGACAGTGTCCTCCCCGTCGCGCAGTGGGCCAGACGACCGGCGCAGGCGGACAAAACTCTTGACGCGTTTTGAGCTCCAGAGTCGCTAAATGGGACTCGAACCGACCGTGTGACCCCACCAATGGATTCCTTGTTCGGAGAGCAATCCATTGGTGGGGCCACACGTTCGGTTCGAGTCCCATTTAGCGACTCTGGAGCCCGAAACGCATCTAGAACTTTGTCCGCCTGCGCCGGTCTTCTGGCCCACTGTGCGTCGTTGAAATCGCCGCCTGAGACTGAGAGTCCTCGTCGTTGTGTTTCGCAGTTGCAGGGGTCGCGCCGTGAGTGCGAGGGAGACAGAACGACGACTCTGCAGAGTGCTTTCGCCCAGTGTATCCAACGGTCAGCGCTATGAAAATGCGAAACGCTTTCGCCCGAAAATGACTTATTGCATCGACTCGGCCGTCGAGGGTTGATTTTTCCAAGAAAAAGTTTGCTAGTGTCCATCCCTCGGCGAGCGATTCAGATTCAGTTTGTCTCCCTCGCACTCTAACGGAGAGGTCTGCGAGTGGGACGGAGACAGAGCGACGAGGCGACTGGCACCCCTTCCTTTATCTCCGCCTGCTTGCTACTTTTTGCCTCCGCACCCCTCGCTGCCCGAGACGCTGTCCGAGTGGCGCTCGGGGCACCGCTGCCCTCAAGTTGTTACGAGGGAATGAGTTATGAAGTATATTCGCATGTATCAGACGGCAGACAAGCGGGCGTGGCGTGGCGTGGCGCGGCGTGCCGCACTCGGTCGGTCAATCCCTGCCCTGCCCGGGGCCCAGCCGCTCGGGCCGCGCCGCTCGGGCCGCACCACGCCGCGCAAGCTGCCGGCTTTTCATCATCATCACCACTGTAATCACGGTCGTAATCATGACTATGATAATGCGGACAAACGGACACCGCGGCCGCTGCGTTTGCCACGCGCACAGTGGATTTGCCAGAAGACCGGTGGAGGCGGCCAAAACTCTGGACGCGTTTTGAGCTCCAGAGTCACAAAATGGGACTCGAACCGACCGTGTGACCCCACCAATGGATTGCTCTCCGAACGAGGAATACATTGGTGGGGTCACACGTTCGGTTCGAATCCCATTTAGCGACTCTGGAGCTCAAAACGCGTCTAGAGTTTTGTACGCCTCCACCGGTCTTCTGGCCCACTGTGACGCGTCATGGAAAATCTATGGAAATCATAACATTGTGGCAAGTCTGCTCGGACACAACCTGAGAGGACCGAAAAAGCGAGCAGTTTGAGGTAATGCGGCCTCGCGCCTTCCGCCCGACTTGATTGTTGCGCACACACTGGCAAAGAGCGGTCCCACTCTGCAAGTTGAGACGCTGGCTTCCGGCCTTTGCCCCGTCCCGGACAAAACTCGCAAGTTTTGAACGTTTGCGCGGACCGAAAGGGGAAAAGTCGAGCGGAGATAGCGAAAGGGGGGAGGACCCAACTCGCAGCGCGCTGAAGTGAATGGTCCTTATCTATATTGTCCTGCAAACATATTTTGATGATGCGCGTCGAATTTGTTGTCGTCCCATTTCTTTCCCCCTTCTTCCCTGCTACACCCAGCCAAGGCACGGCCCCTCACAGTGGGCCAGAAGACCGGTGGAGGCGGCCAAAACTCTAGACGCGTTTTGAGCTCCAGAGTCGCTAAATGGGACTCGAACCGAGCGTGTGACCCCACCAATGGACTCCTCGTTCGGAGAGCAATCCATTGGTGGGGTCACACGTTCGATTCGAGTCCCATTTAGTGACTCTGGAGCTCAAAACGCGTCTAGAGTTTTGGCCGCCTCCACCGGTCTTCTGGCCCACTGTGCCCCTGGACATCATTTGCGATGCAAGGGACTGGCCGTGTAGCCCCGCGGGAGTGCGGTCCTCGAACGAAAGGCGGCCGTGTTTCTATTTTCACTTTGAAATAAGCAGTGCAAACGCGACGCGTGCCACGCGGCTAATTGCCGGCACGCCTGGAGGAAGCTAGACTGATCTGCGAGGAATGTCCTGCTACCTTGAGCCAGTGCTGCCAGGTGAAAACTCGCACGATGCACCAGTGACAAAAGGGTTGCCAACCTCAGATTGCCTACGTACCAGGTAACAGCTGACGTTTGCTCTCAAGAAGCCTCCAAGTAGGCAGGCTGAGGTCGGCAACCTCTCCACGCTTCGTGGCAAATTTTGCGTTCGTAAATGTGATTTTTTATCAATACGACCAAGACCACCTCGCGGCTGCAGAGCCGTGCATTCTTTGGTGCGCCGGGTCTTCGATCCCCGTCGTAGCGCGCAGGTCAAGATGCCCCTCCCCCTCTCCCCTCCTCTGTGTGGCCGAGTTGGCAGGCCCGGTGTTTGGTGCCGTGTCGTGCCAAGACTTCACCCGGGCCATGCCCCTGCCCCTTCCCCTCCCCCTCGCCCGCCGCCAGCGCTCAGCTGTTCTGGAGCGGCGTGTTTTTCGACGGTCAAACCCGCCAAACACAACGCGTCACCAGCGTTTCTTACTTCGACTCAGTCCAACCGTTACCCTGCAAGATAGAACTTTGGAAGAATTATTTTGCAATCCTCACCGGATGCTGTTTCTAAATTATCCGCGCTTAGAAAACTTTTTCAATTTTGCTGCACATATTTTTAATTTAGGTGTGGATGCTACCAGTGCCACCCAGGGTTTGAGAAAACAAGAACTTCCTCTTTGGAGGAGCAGAAAAAAAGTGTCGCGATACAATGCGGAAAAGCCGCGAGTTGAAAATGCATTCGCTGTAAATAATGTTCCGAGCCATTCCGTTTCACGCATGAGCCTGGCGGCCGCCCCACCTGTCCACTCCTCATGCCCACCACGCCCCGCCCCGCCCCGCCCCGCCCCGCCCACCGCTCGCACTAGGCGACTCTAATGACACAAGGTCCAGTCATAGCAGGACATTACTCTAAATTAAAAGGCCGTAGCTTTGCGCGCGGCTAAAGCGATTCGCCGCGACCCACGCCTCGCCGTGCGCCGCAACCAGGAAGCACCGCGAGCGCCGAGCGATTGTCCGCTGGATCGAATCCCGTTGGAGCTGTTGTAACAATTTTTTCTCTGCGCGCCGATTTAATACGGAACGCCGTGCTCTTTTATGTCGTCACGTGGAAAGCCTTGGGCTGAAGTGTTAGTGCAAACTTTGTAGTAGAAAGATTAACTAGACTCCTTAAATTTCCTCGAAATTCCGAACTCAAAGTTGATTTGGAGATGAGTTGACATGACTTAATCGCGCGTTTAAGAAGCACGATCTAAACATGTTTTTTCAAGGAGTGACCTCCTTTACGCGAAGCAAATCACTCGCTCCGTCGGAACTCTACAATGCGCAGAGTCCTCGAGGTTAGGAAGTCGGCGTCGGAGATCCGCCTCCTCTATTTCCTCCCACCGCGTTGCACCGCCTTGCACCCCGTTTGGACCCACGCCATGCACCTGGCCCATCGGGCCCAACCCAACTATATACCTACCTAGTATACAGTATGTCGGCCGCGAGCCGCCAGAGCCGAGTGGCCATAGAAATGCTAGGGCGATAAAATACGCGGTCCGCTCGAAAACAATTTCGCGCGTGACATCTCCATTTTGCCGAGCCGTGCCGAGCCGGGCAGAGTCGCTTCTAATCTGGCTGCCGCTCGCTGCAGCGCGCTGGCGGGCAACATAACCTCTCTAAAGTGTCGCGCCGCGTCCCCTCGCTTATTGAGTGTGCGGCCAGTCGCATTGCAGCTGCAACGTCATCACAGCAGCAACAGCAACAACAACAATCGTACCCTCTGATTTAGAGAACCGCAGCGCAATGGAATCGCCTTCAACAGCCTGTGGCCTCCTCCTCCTCTCTTCTTCTTCTTCTTCTTCTTCTTCTTCTTCTTCTTCTTCTTCTTCTTCTTCTTCTTCTTCTTCTTCTTCTTCTTCTTTCCATCGTTCTCATCCTTGTTTTCACTCACTCTGATCATGAACTTGAACAGGATCCGTAACGATCATCATGTGGATGATCATCACCATATGAATGATCATCATTATCACCATCATGAATGATCTCGCTAACCACTGTTCCTCTTCTGTGTTGCAGGATGAGTTTCATCCGTTCATCGAGGCGCTGCTGCCCTACGTCAAGTCCTTCTCCTACACCTGGTTCAACCTCCAGGCGGCCAAGAGGAAGTATTTTAAAAAGCACGAGAAGCGGATGTCACTGGACGAAGAGCGGCGCTGCAAAGAGGAGCTGCAGGTCAGTCTCTTTATTTATTAGTTGCGTTTCAGCCTTCAGCTCGCTGGGGCCTGCGCCTCGGCCAGCAGGGAGCATTTCAGGGAATGAAAAGTTGGGCTCATTTACGCGTTCGGCCGCACTCCGGCCTCGCTCCGGTCGCGTAATTTATACCTCGGGAGCTCATTCATTCGTTACTGCTTCAAATCACATGTGGCATTGATTATTTTGCGCGCGCGCTGTGTTGTTGTGGAAGATGTCGTTGGCGCGATAGGATCGAGTCCCTGGATCGAGTGCATTCGTTTCGCGGGAAGGTTTCGAGACGTGGCTTTGGGTTTCCTCAATGGACATGTGTTGCCAGCGGTTGCAGGCACCCTCCAGTCAACCTGCTCGACTTGCCTCAACTTATCGGTAGCATTTCTACCGCGCAGCGCTGCGTCTACTTAGCGTGTTGATTAGGCTCAATGACGGCGCCTTGGTTGGCAACCCTAGACCGCGCGGCGCTAGAGTGGCTTACCTGGTTATTGGCAACCCTATACAGTGGCCATTTGTCACGCGCCACCCGCCGCAAGTAGCAGGCCGCGCGGCAGGGTTGACGTTACTTCCATTATTTCTCGAGCGCCGCTCAAGCAGTGGAGGCATTCCGCGAGGCATCTAAATCATTGGACGCGGTGGCCGGCCTCCACAGAGGTGCCTCCACAGAGGTGCCTCCACAGAGGAGCCTCCACAGAGGTGCCTCCACAGCATTGCCTCCACAGAGGTGCCTCCACTAAGGTGCCTCCACAGAGGTGCCTCCACAGCATTGCCTCCACAGTGGTGCCTCCACTAAGGTGCCTCCACAGCGAAGTGCCTCCACAGAGGCTTGAGTTGATCGACTATCCGTTTGATTACAACTTTGACAATTCACATGAGGAAGTGCCACTAAAACAGCTGAGTCACAAAGATTCCAAAATGTATTATACTGAAGGTTATTTTTTTTGTAAATCGCGAGTCTCTGGACGGACAGTCTTCGCTGCGACGTTGGTTCTGGGCTGCTGGTATTATGCATGCGACATCCCCTGCAACGTTATCTGCAACACAGCCATGCCGGCATCGGCCCTGGGGCGGCTAGGGCCGCAGGGCCCTTCCCCCGCAGTGAGTGAAATGGTCCGTGTAAAGGACGCGCCGAGCCGCCAAGGGCGAAGCGGGGCAAGGAAGGGCAGACCACCGTAAGTCGCTGGCAGTGGCGCTGCGGTTACAGCGCCGGGTGGCCCCACGCTGGTGGCCCTGGTGGCCCTGGCCACGGCTGGGGTGCGTCTTAAATACCGGCCTGCATCCCTTTCCGCGGTAATTATTTCTCGCCGGGACGTTTCTCATATTTCGCTACTTTTCGCTCGGCCGTTTAATTCCGCGCAGTGCTCGCCACTAAATCTCGCGCGACGCTCTCGTCGGTGATGGTTTATGTGTTTGCCATGGTGATGAGGCTAATTTTACGTTTGAGGGAATTCCTGAAACGTCTTCTTCTTGCGGAAGCGCGAAAGGTGCACGGTGAAAACGGTTCCTGGTTTTCCAGGTAGCCTAGGCATAGGGAATTCCCAGGAAGCTCCTGGTAAATTCCAACTAAAACAGCAGTGAAGCGTGCCGCTTTAGAGCTGGTGCCTCCGGCCTTTGACACCCCAATCTCCCCTTGCACGGCACGGCAGTCGGTCCAATTAGCTGTCGCTGCCGGTTGACGCGCGACCTCCCTCGTACCTTGCACCGCCTTGTGTCGTGTACCTTGCCGGCCAGTCCGCCGTGGCAGGGGCATGACTGTCCCCCGGGCAGCTCAATTTGATCGGCCGGCTAAGTGACATATCTTGGGAGATCTCGCCAGACGTCATCGCGAGCCATCGCCCTGTTCCCCCAGAGCAATCACGACTCGTGCGCAAGCGCAGCGTACTGCAACGTGCAATCGGTCTTTGTCAGTCGCGATTGGATGTTCGCACAGTGCGTGTGTGTGTGTGTGAGTGTCTGTGTGCTGTTTTGAATGCTTGGGGTCATCCAACCAGTACGTGTGAGGCCCTAGCCAATCGGGTGGGACAGTTTATTATAACGTTGCTCTCGGCGAAAAAAAAAAAAAAAACAAGCTTAGAAATGATGATTCCTTAAGTCTGTCTGCTTTGCAGCTAACAAGCAATTTAAATCTAATTTTAATGAGTATGGGTAAGTTGGAGAAGAAAAGTAGACCCGTATGGAGCTGATACCTTGACTTTGAGCCATCCGTCGACCGGTTATTTTAACTCAACATGAAAATCTGAGTATGAAATCCCTTACAAACGAATGTCAAGACGCCTGCTGTAGGCCACAGGGAGGTGTACTTTTCTTCCCCAACTTACCCCTATTCCATTAGGGCTACTGCAGTCGAATGTCAACCTGTTTTTCGTCAGAGTGTTTGACGTGTAGCCTCGCGCGAGGGCTCACATGCTCCCGACCAATCAGGGCACGCGATGCTTGAGTGGCGATGCGGCCTGGCCGGCCAGCCGAGCGGCCAGCCCACTGGGCAGGCTGCTGGCAGTAATAGCGGCCACGCGACACTGATCCGCGTGCAGCCGCGTACGGCCGGGGGCAACGCGCTGCCACGCCCGGCCACGCCACTGCCAGTCGCCCACCAATGACAGCTCGGTAGGAGGTCTGGGATTCCCTCCGCCGCGCCGACCTAACCCAACCCAACCGGCACACTGACAGTGTTTAGCGACGCGAGCCGGCCTTTTCGCTCTAACGATGGGATAGTGTTGATGGGGAATAACTCAGCCATTTGTGCGGCTTGCTTGCTTGTCTTGTTGACCGTAATCGAAATGTCGGCGCCTCCGCATCGCCTGCGCCGCCGCGCTGCCAGCACGGTAGGAGGTTCGGGAGTACGACCTAATGACTTGGACACGGAGCTGTGCGGAGCGCGACATGACGTCTCAGAGGCTCTTTCAGAATCTCTCGCATCCGTCAACAGCCCACATCCACTAAAGCGGTGTTCTTGAAGACTCTCAAGCCACAAGTTAGCTATTCTTAAGACTCTCTCAGCCATAGAATCTTTAGCAAATTGCTACAGATCCTATAGGCAATGTAAGAGAACTATTGCCTTGTTCAAATCCGCACACAATTGATAGATAGACGCACGTCTCGTTGGGTATAACGTTTTAAGGGGGAACTTTTCTGGAGCAATTTGATGCCTTGATGATATGCATGCGTGCAAGATACGCGCTGGAGCCGCTGGAAGTGCTGGTGATCTAATAATGATAGGCAAATGTCGACAGTAATCGATGTTTATAATGAGTCTGGAAGTAGCTAGTGTCCGTCCGGCGAAGGCGAGCCCTTGCTCTGAATCCGGATGTGGCTCCCTGGCACTCCGTGGCACTCCGCGGCACGGGGCTGGCTGTTTGAGGCGTCATAAATCGGAAGGCAGCAGTAGCGTCGTCTGCTGCGGCGTCTGCTTCGTCGTCTGCTCGGCCGCGCCAGATCCGGAAAGGAGTTTTACTGCCTCACTGACCCACTCCGCGCCACGCCACGGCCACGCCACGCCTCGGGGGTCCACTCCACGTATCAGATCCAACGGGGGCTGCTTCAAGCGTCGAGGTTCTGCGCGGCCAAAATGAGACGTCTGCGGTGATGAGAGGGAAAAGCCGTTTCGACACCTGGGTCGCCTGCAGTGATGACAAATACGGACCCAAGTCGCCAGTCCGTCCACGGGAAAACCACCTCCTGGGCATTCACCGATGTCTCTGGGAATTCCAGGAGATTTTCCTTGAAATTAAGTGATATTCCCGGGAATCCAAGGAAACTGATTGGTCGTGTCACGTTCAAACCGCCTGTTGTTCCTACCTTGCGAGCACAGCTTCATGCTTGCACGCATCAAATTCGAACGCAGCGTTATATAAATCTTGAAGATGGCGTGAGCTACCTGTCCCGGCGTTAGACGCTCCACTAGTTTATTCGCGTTCAGGCTGACGGTTTCGCTCCGAGATTATAGGCCGTCTTCGTGGCGCGGGTCTTTGATTTCGTCTCGCCTTTATTCCTTTTTGTCATCGACTTACATCAAAAACAGAGGGAGAGAGAGGTGGGGCAGACGGGAGTGGGGAGAGCGACGGTGGTTTGCAGACCTTAATGAAGGTGAACAAGTTGACTTTTTTTACGCCATGAAATAAAAAGTGCAAATTTATGAAGAGACCGGGCGATGGCTGCGGCAAGCCGACAGTCGGACGGGTTGACACTCGCATCCATATCAAATCGCCTCTGCGTCTCGGCAGAAAAGGATCTCGTTTTAGATTTTAATCAAGGAATCCGTTTAAGGAGGCGCATGCCCAAATTAAGGCGGGAGAAAGTTGGCTAATCCGCGAAGGTTGAGGACGTATGACACGGTGGCTCTAGGAGTGTCGTCAGCCTTGCGGTGATGCACGTTCGGTTTGTTTGTTTACCATGTACCTTGTTGCTCCTCCAACTTACGAAACATACCAATTATGTGCTGCAGGTGGCTGTTTGTAAACAACAACAGTTCCGTAAATTGGTGTAATGGAAAGCTAGCCGGTCGTTGGCTTTCGCTCCGAGGCCTCGCCGTTCTTTGGTTCTTTGACAGTGGAGCCGCACGCGTCCGAAGCCTCGCATCTTCGCTGCAAACGGGTGGCACTTGCGGCAGTCCGAGCGGGTCTCGGGACAGAGACGTCTAGTTTTGTGAGTGGGCCGGCCGGCCGGGCGGATGCATGGTCAAATAGCGCGCGCTGATTTGCGTTTGGCACGGGCCGCATTTGACACAACAGCGTCGCTCGGCCACCCATTTGACGCCGCTGGAAAAAAATACACATTGCGGTTCGCTTCGTCCTTGTCGCGCGCTCGGGCCGAGCCGGCTCGGATCGCAATCAGTAGCGATGACGTTTCCGAACGCGGCTGTCCGCGCGGCGTCGGCGTCGTCCAGCGCCATTCAAATAAAGTCGCGCAAACGGACTAGCGCGGCAACGCGTCGCGACACATATATGGGCAACGCGCGCGTGCGTGAGTTTGCGTGCGTGTGTGTGTGTGTG